CCGGAAGAGCGCGCCTGCCACTGGGGGAGTGAAGAAACCTCATCGCTACCGACCAGGTACCGTAGCCTTGCGAGAGATCCGCCGCTACCAGAAATCTACTGAGCTGCTCATCCGCAAGCTGCCCTTCCAGCGCCTGGTCCGTGAAATCGCCCAGGACTTCAAAACCGATTTACGCTTCCAGAGTTCGGCCGTTATGGCCCTGCAGGAGGCCAGCGAAGCCTACTTGGTGGGGCTCTTTGAAGATACTAACCTGTGTGCCATTCACGCCAAGAGAGTCACCATCATGCCCAAGGACATTCAGTTGGCCCGGCGTATCCGTGGCGAGAGAGCTTAAAGGCTGCTCAGCCATCTTCCAAATGACCCAAAGGCTCTTTTAAGAGCCACTACATTTACACTTAAAGAAGTTGTAGCATGCCTATAAGTGTTGTTCGGAGATGGTACACTATTGTAGGTAAGCTGCTTTCTAATATAATGAATGGCGTTTTCCAGTTCTGTAAAATGCACGTATTCCCTGTTAACTTCTAAAGGAAAACTGAAATATAAAGTTGCTATTTAAAACTTTGGCTTCAAGTTCCTTTCCCACTGTGAGGTGATTATCTGACAAACTTTAGAAATATTTCATACAAATACCCTTTGCAATTCGAAGAACCTGTAAACAAGCCACCAATGAGTTATTGTGGGGGTGGGATATAGGAATGATAAGCAGGAGATTTGAACAATCCCTTTGTAAAATCAAGCCAATCTAATTGGAAACAGAACACACATGCGATCTTTTTCGAAGAGGGATGAGAGACAAGGAAAGCGATATTCTTGTGTCGTGTTATCCTCCTTAACGCCGCATATTAAGCCAGGTACATCTTCGAGCAAAAGAATCTATCAGGATGAAACTAGGCAAATTTAATCCTTTCACTTATTGCAAGTAATTACTGTTTAAGAACTCCTCCAGTCTTTCATCTATTTAAGACAGGACTGAAGGAAATTAGATCCCTCATGAGGGCGCAGTGCCCCACCGTCTCAGAGGGAAGAATTACTGAAGGTTAGTTGTGCCGCCCTCTAAATAGCAGCAAATTAAAACACAAAATACGAGGATCGAGAGAGGTTTCAGCCCATTCTGTGGGTTAACTATTATCCCCGCCCCTTCTTTATCTCCGGGGATTTGTGTGCGTGACGGTTGTTCAGCAGTAAGAGAAAGAGAGCAGGGATGACATTGACTAGCCAGCTTATGGCGACCGCTTTCTATCTGTGCTTCCAGAGCTCGGCCGTTGTGGCCCGATAGGACGCCAGCGAATTGGTGGGCTCTTTGAAAATACTAACTTTAACCTGTGTGCCAGTCACGCCAAAGAGAGTCACCTCCTGCCCAAGGACATCCGGTTACGCCGGCGTAACAGTGGTGAAAGGGTTTACAGGCTGCTCAGCTCAGCTCTCTTCTGCAACTTCCAAACGACCCAAAGGCTCTTTTAAAAGCCACTACCTTCACGCTGAAAGGAGCTGTAACACCCCCATAACTTGGAATATTTTGTTATTTTTTACAAAATGTTAACAGTCCCAAATAGTAATATTCAGATAAACTAGAGAGGGAGGGGGAAAGTTAGCTAGAATGGTAGAAACAATGAGGCAAACCAACTATCCTTCAGGCAGATAAGCAGATAATTCATGGAGCCAAAACTTTATTTAACCGAAGAATATTACTAGAGGTTCGACTAGAGTACTGAACAGTATAATCTGGTAATATGTCAAATGTTATTTACGGGACAAACCGTTTAACCATATTTTATATTTCTTGGAGGTGACACATCACCGAACTGTTGGTTGGGAGGGGGAGAAACGAGAAGGACGAGGAACACCTACATTTTGCCTTAAAATTTGAAACCCCGATATAGTTTAAATTGACAATGCCATTTACTAAAACGAAATCAGTCCCCCCTCTATATAGGGAGCATATGAAAAAATGCTTTAACAAGTCGCCTGAAACTAAAACACAAGTACAGATTGTTTAAAAAAATACACTGTTGGAATTTGAAGAACACAAGCAGCAGTTAGTGATATCAGAGCTCTTTGGGTGAGAAAGTGGATGGCTCTTAAAAGAGCCTTTGGGTTATAGGTGTTGATAGTCTCACAGCAAACTATTTACTT